TAGGTTCAGTGTCCAACGAAGTGATGACGACGCACTTCCTGCAAGGTCTGCCGCCGGAGGTGCGGCTAACAGTACGTAACAGTGCTGGAGATGAAACTCTCTCCTTGGAGCGAGCCGTCGCCGTCGCTAGGTCAACGTTGGCGATGGCGGCCAGGGAGAGAGCGACTGCATCGGTGGCTGTCGTCCAGCCGCCGCCATCATATGTACAGCAGCAGCGGGGAGCCAGAGGGACGGGTCGCCGTCCACCACTGCGGTGTTGGACCTGTAACCAGGTAGGCCACATCGCCCGGCTCTGCCCAAACGGGCACGGCGACGGCGCTACATCAGCGCCACGGGCTCCGCCGTCGCCAGCTGCCGCAGTGACCCAAGAGCCCCCATCATCGACATCAATGTAAATGGGCGCAAGTGCCGAGCACTCGTCGACACAGGGTGCAGCGAGACAGTGGTGTGGAAGGGCATGGTGTCCTGCTGGGAGCGGAGTGACGCCAGCTTGGTCGCTGTCAACGACAGCCCGGTGCTGTGCTGTGGGCGGGCTGTGGTCAGCCTTGGAGTGCGCGGGGCGACAGTGAGTGTGCGGGCGGTCGTCGTACCGGCCCGGTTGCTGGGCGTAGACGTGTTGCTGGGCATGACCGGCATTGACGCCCTGCAGGGCGTGAGTGTAAGTGGAGGATCCGTTCGCTTCGGGAGCGACAACCCAGTTGCGAGCGTCGACACGGCTGCTGTGGTGCAGCGTGAGGCCCCGCCGGAGCGGGAGGTGTGTCGAGCGGTCGACACGGCTGCTGTGGTGCAGCGTGAGGCCCCGCCGGAGCGGGAGGTGTGTCGAGCGGTTGACACGGCTGCTGTGGTGCAGCGTGAGGTCCCGCCGGAGCGGGAGGTGTGTCGAGCGGTCGACACGGCTACTGTGGTGCAGCGTGAGGCCCCGCCGGAGCGGGAGGTGTGTCGTGCGGTCGACACGGCTGCTGTGGTGCAGCGTGAGGTCCCGCCGGAGCGGGAGGTGTGTCGAGCGGTCGACACGGAGCCGGAGCTAAGGATTGACGAGACTGACTTCACGGCTGTGTTCGATGATGTGTGGACAGTCCGTTGGAAATGGGCCGGTGGCGTGGCTCCGCCCCCGCTTGGAAACTCGATAGCTCAGTACGGTGTGCCGAGTTGTGCGCGTGAAAAATTCGATGCAGAGCTGGCGCTGTGGATTAGTGAGGGCTGGCTGCGCGAATACGATGAGACGATGTACGGTCCCGCACAGGGATTGATCCCGTTGATGGTGGTTACTCAGGCAGCGAAGGACAAGGTGCGGCCGGTGTTAGATTATCGGGAACTCAATCAACACCTGACACGTCACACAGCCGACGCTGACGTCTGCGTGGAAGAGCTGCGAAGGTGGCGACGTCACGGACGCCGGGTCGCTGTCCTGGATCTGAAGAAAGCTTTTCTTCAGCTTCGTGTGGACCCGGCCCTGTGGCCGTACCAGACAGTCATCGTGCAAGGGCGGCGGTACTGCCTGACCAGGGTCGGCTTTGGGCTCAGTATCGCGCCTCTGATCATGAAGGCTGTGGTCAGGAAGGTGCTCGCACAGAGCCCCGGGTTGGCAGAGGCAGTGCTGCCTTACGCCGATGATCTGCTGGTCAACGAAGCGGTGGTCTCGGCTGATGAGGTTGCCGAGCACTTCGCTCGATTCGGGCTCACATGCAAGCCGCCGGAGCGGGTCGCGACCGGTGCACGTATGCTGGGCCTTCGTGTCGCCGAGAGCGACGGGCCGGCACTCCAGTGGAGTAGGGACGGGGAGTCACCAACGCAGGCTCCACCCGTGCTAACGCGGCGATCTGTCTTCGCGTGGGCCGGCCAGCTGACATCTCATGTGCCGGTCGCAGGCTGGCTGCGGCCGGCCGCTGCATGGATGAAGCGGACTGCCAACCGCCTCAGCCCGGACTGGGACACTCCGATCGTCAGCGAGGAGCTACAACGTGAGGTGGATGAGGTGTCACGGCGGTTTCGAGCATGTGACCCGGCACGCGGCCAGTGGTGTGTGACAGGGACGAGCGTCGTGGTGTGGACCGACGCCAGCTCCATCGCCCGCGGTGTCGTGCTCACTGACCCTGACACGGGCGCCATCATCGAGGACGCGTCCTGGCTGCGTGCCGAATCGGAGAGGGACGTGCACATCAATATCTCAGAACTGGATGCCGCTCTCAACGGTGTCAACCTGGCGGTAGCATGGGGCTTCCGTCGCCTGACGCTCCGGACAGACTCGGTGACGGTGCACCGCTGGCTGAGTGACGCGCTGTCGGGTAAGGCAAGGCTGCGAACCAAGGCGCAGTCCGAAATGCTTATCCGACGGCGCGTGGCTGTTTTCCGTCAGCTCGTCATCGAGTACGAACTGGAGGTCACTATCGAGCTGGTCGCGTCAGCGGTCAACCGTGCTGATGAGGTGACGCGGGTGCCCAACGCCTGGCTGCAGACTGCCGACCAGCCAACCACTGATTCGTCCAAAGCACAACCGGTGGCTGTCGCTGCCATCACAAGTGCCTCAGCGAGTGACATCCGCACCATCCACGAAAACATCGGTCACCAAGGAGTGAGGAGAACGTTGTGGTACGCCCGACGTGAGCTGGGGGTGAGGCGGGTGTCAAAACCAGCTGTGCGAGACGTGGTCAGACGATGCCAGACGTGTGCCTCGATTGACCCGGCGCCGGAGCGCTGGCCCGGTGGGTCACTCGGAACAGAACGCACGTGGGATCGCCTGGCCATGGATGTCACCCACGTGCACGGCCACCCATACCTGACGCTGGTGGACTGCGGGCCGTCGAGGTACGCCATATGGCGACGGCTTCGCCGGGCAGGAGCTCTGGAGATTGTGAGTGAGCTGGAGAACGTGTTTCTAGAGCGTGGAGCCCCGGCGGAAATACTCACGGACAATGCGACAGAGTTCCGTGGCCGGGTCATGTTAGCGTTCGCGGCTCGCTGGGACGTATCCATCCGGTTCCGCGCTGCCTACGAGCCCGGCGGGAACGGCATCGTCGAGCGCCATCATCGTACCATCAAAGTGATGGTGGCCCGGCAGTCCTGCTCCGTTGCTGAAGCAGTCCATCGGTACAACGTGACACCGAAGGATGGCAGTGACCCGGCCACAGCTCCAATCAACGGGGTGCTTCGACACCCTGGCCGAGACGTTGACGTGACGCCCCGCAGAACCTCAGACGAGCCTGGTGACGCCCTGCCGCTGAAGAAACCCGGTGTATACCAGGTAGGGGACAAGGTGTGGGTTCGGCGGCGGGGCGACCGATGTTTTGTAAAGTCAGACGAGGGTATTGTGACAGGCGTCGTTTCGGCCCAGACAATCGAAGTCGATAATGTCCCACGACATGTGCGAAACCTCCGACATCGGTTGACCGTCCCTGAATGTCCGAGGCCAGGGGCTCTGCGAGCGCCAACGGTGGAGTGGTCTGATGACAGCGAGTGTGATGGCGTGTGTGTGTCGCCAGCTCCGAGTGATGTGACGGAGTCGGACACGCGGCCGCCCAGCGTTGCTCAGTCCCCGGACCCCGATCCACCGACCGGGTCCGATGTGTCTGCAGACGAGAGTGAAACGTTCGTGCCTGCGACGCTGCGGCGTGGTACGCGTGTTCGAAGAGAGCCGGAAAGATATGGCGATGGTGTGCCAGAGGATGTAGTTGATGCGTTGATTGAATGACATGTAACATGTAGAGTAATGTGGTTCTTCAGAACCAGGGGGTGATGTAGCGTGACGCAAGGATGAATGTGAGCCGTATAAGTGTGAGTCAGCTTCAGCGTCGAGCTGTGAACCGGTGACCCAGCGTTGGTCATAGCCGCCGGCATCTGATGCCGGCAGGGCCGAGTTACACCCTGCAAGTAGCTGGGCCGGGCATGACGTATGGGAGCATGATTGGCTGGTTATGATGTGAGATATATGACGTATGACAGCGCGATTGGTTGGTGATGATGTGAGATGTGTGTCTGCGAGCTGTGGATGTGCCAGGAGGGGGATTGTGAGTTTAGTTGGCTGGAAGGTGTAGAGGAGAGCAGAATAGATCTTCTTCTTGTGCTGGACGGTGACTTTTAAGTCAGTACGACATTGGTATAGAAAGGATCTTTCCAAGTTTAAAAATCAAGCGTTGGCATCGTGAGAAGCGTTAGGGTGGCCGCTTTGCCCCACTCTCCCCTACAGATGTCTATAAGCATGGTTGTCTGGCATGCCCTCCTGTCTGGCGTCGCTGGATCCGCCCCTGCGGAGACTATAAGGCCCAGAGTCTGAGTCGGACCCAGAGGCGCACCGAGGCACGCCACCGACCGGAAAAGGCTCCGATACCGGAGTGTCGGTCACAACGCCACATCTCGGCCGCAGCCATCTAGTCTGTCCTGATGGACGTCAGAGCGGTGCTGGTCCTGCTACCGCCGCGCCGGAAACTCTGCCAGCCTGCACGGCGCACTGCAGACGGAGAGACAGGAAACGCATCCGTCGCCATCGAACGGAGAGATTGTGGTAGAAACGCAGCCGGCATACCGGAGCATGACGAGGGTGCGTGACGGGTGGCACTCCCCACGGGAGTTCCCTCATAGGTCAGCTCATTCTGACCACTCATGGCGATGACCACAGGATCTGAACAGCGTGGTGGGCGCATGAGTCTTTTATGAAACTCTGTGTTTCGAAGCTAATACTAAAAAATAAGCATTTTTAAGATTCGATTGCATACGAATCCACTTCTTGAAGCTTTGACTTTTAGTTTCAGCGTTTGCTGCGTACGATGCATTTATAATTAATTGTTCCTACATGTTTTTATTCTCTGTAACAATTAAGAAAAAACAGGTATTTCTAAGGTCAATGTTCATGAAATTGATTAGCAAATATAAGATACGATAAAAATTTACCTGAAGAAACATATAATCGTTACTGCAGAAGTTAATGATAGAATAACTTAAATCCACAGTGAATGTTGCCCTGATTCCCGCAGCCCCCTGGTGACCTAACTCCACGGTGAACTCACCCGAGAGGAAACACTTGCGCTCTCCGAGGTCGGGTCGCAGGATGGCGCCCTTCGGGATGACGTCGTAGGGCACATAGTTGAAGAAGGCCAGCAGGCAGGTCATCAGCAGCGGTACGCCCCACGCGTACAGCGAGTGTCGGATGAAGCGGTTCCTCAGCGAGCGCTGCGACGGCGACTGGGTGCGCAGGTGTCTGAAAACCAGCGGGCTGCTGCGGGATGAGGCGGTCACCGGACGGTCCGGCCGCCAGCCGGACGGTCCGGACGGCAGCCGGACGGTCCGGACGGCCAGTTGGGGCTACACCAGGGTGAGGGGAGTGGGGGCGGCATTCACAGGTCAGGGTAGCGGCAGCAACTTAACATGCTCTAATGTTCATTAGCAGGCTGGGGGGGGGGGGGCAACATTAGCAGTAGGTATATCTGACAGCACCATTCGACCAACGGGTTGTAACCTCAAATCGCGAACAGAAGCAAAGTGCATGCATCATAACGTTCGCATTTCTACATGCATTAATAAACATGCAAACTAATAAGTTACATACCTAATAGAAATTATTACAAATAATTTCTAACAGACCCATGCAGATCCAATGAACATTTCCTAAAACCACGTGGGGCGATGTGATAGTATGTTCCATGTGTCCATGTGAGTTTGCTTGTATTTGCCCTCGACTATTGTGTCATGTGTTATTCATCCTTGTGCTATAATAACCTTTATGCCTACATAAATATTCCGTAGCATATTTTTGCACACAAAAAAATACAAAAAAAAACATAGGGGTCTAACTTGAAAGGCTCCTAACCCCAAAACGAAATTTCTATAGAGTAAAATGCCTCATTTGGAACACTAACTCTTTGGGACGTCGTTCCGTTTCTTCGTGCACCTGCCTTCAAAAATAAAATTTGCGTCATGCGTCCGCCTATTTCATATTGTAATAAGGACAAAATCATAGCATGGCGGCGTTAGTTTACTTTAAAAAGACATCAAAATCCGCCCACCGCTATCTGTAATATGCACAAGAGTTCACTTTGCGGCTCGCAGCGGAGGCGGCGTGGCATTTGCACGCTCGGCTCGCGTGGCCATGCGAAACGAACTCTGAGTATGAGTGAGGGACTTGAGGCCACGAACCGAGGCGGCATCCGCTTAACAAGGCGGGGCTCACTCCTCTGCATGAATCCAGGCTCGCACGTCGCCCTCAATTATGCTCCAAAGGATCTGAGAGTGTATATTATAATTACATACGTTTTAAATCACTCGGCACTCGGCAGAGTAAGCCAATGATCGCGGGATGCTTTGGGCAGACACACGAATTATGACGTGAGCTGTTGGAGATCGCCAGGATTTTCATCGTGCTTCATTTCGTATGCACGTAGGCAGCATGCAAGGCAAGCAATGTGTGCCTAAGAAACTGCGGTGGGCACGAATAGACTTCATGAATTCGTGTAACATTATTAAACGCTTTGGTTGACCAGGCAAAACCACGAAAGATTCTTGAATCGAATCATATAAATGGATCATAATTATTTTAAAAAATTATAGATGCTAATGACTTATTAACTATGTCAATGTTTAAACTTTAACGTTCGATGCCCAAAACTTCTTTATCATTCCGGGTAGCCTTTCGCTAATATTTCGTCTCGAACAAAATGAAGTGGAGCCAAAATACTGGGAACAACGCAAGAGTGATTAACTATCCATTTAACCGATCGACTCTGTTAGGGCAACATTAAAGCTGCAATGCATTGCTATAATTACGTACTTCTAGTTATTCAGAAACTCCTGCAATGATAGCACAAAACGATGCTGGGGAATGTGGTAGGAACGTTGGCTCTTGACATTTGATAATGAAACCAACCGTCTGTATGTTGAACGATAAACCCTTTTTGTTTATAGCTGGAGCTGGCATGTTCCAGGATAAGCAATAAACATGCACTGCAAGTGCATGTGGGACCGTACCAGCCGAGTAGCCGCCAGACATGCAGAGCAGGTGGCGTGCTCCCAACCAGCTGACAATTTGGGCACTGCTTACTACTCAGGATTATCTGTTAAATACACTACTGTATACCTAACCTGTGTGTGCATTGATGAAGTGTATGTTGGATATATGCAATAAGTGTGTAGGAAGTGTGCCCTTGTATAATGTGAGTTGGATGCATTGGTGCGTAGCTGGTGTGCCATCGTATAATGCATAGGCGTAGGAACAGGGGGGGCCAGGTGGGCAAGTGCCCACCCACTTTTCGAGGTGGGGGGCCAACCATGTGTTTTGGCCCACCCACTTTTTACTCGAGGCCCCTCGTCTCGATTTGAGAGGACGTCGTCACCTTCCAGAATGAACAAACTCGGTAAAAATAAGCTCCACGAATCCCCACGCACGGACTCCAAGGGGCCGTGATGGATCCAAGGAGGCCCTCTGTTCATACTTGTCAGTCGAAGCCCCTGGGACTGATGGCCTGAGAGGCCCTAGTGGATCTGAGGAGGCCCCAATATCCACACCATGGTCTGGGGAGGCCCCTGACACTGGCGGTCTGGGAGGCCCTCTATCCACACTAGTCAGAGCTCTGAGACTGGTGGTCTCGGAGGCCCCTCCATCCACACTAGTCAGAATAGGCCCCTGACACTGGCGGTCTAGCCGAGGCCCCCTCCCCTCACTAGTCAGAAGAGGCCCCTGAGACTGATGGTCTGGGAGGCCTATCCATCTACACTGTAGTCAGAGGAGGCCCCTGAGACTGATGACCTGAGAGGCCCTTATAATCACACCAGGCAGAAGAGGCCCATGAGACTGATGGACTGAGAGCCCTTCTATTCATATTGGCCACAGGAGACCCCCAAAACTTTCGGTCTGGGAGGTCCCTCAATCCGGCACCAGTCAGAAGAGTCCCCTGAGACTGATGGCCTGGGAAGTAGAGCACTTCACGGATAGGCTTTTTAGGATCCGGCCCGGCCCATATCCGACAAGTCATATCCAGATCCGCCCATTATCCGCCTTTCTTTGAATATCAGAATCCGGCCCGCCCATGGCCCGTATTGCAGCCAAACTTCCAAAAAATATCCGTAATAATCCGTTTCACCAATAACTGGTTTCACCCAAAACTGGACTAACAAATTCAATCTAAGGGACCAGACAGCCATACATCTCACAGACCATCATGGTTCCAAAAACCATGCTTATAAACCTAAAACCACATGAAAATCACCACATTGGTAAACTAGGTATCAATTTTTAACTTCAATGTTGAATGTTAAAATTTTGATCCGTTTTGATCCGGGTTCAACCTTCAATTCCCAAATCCGGCCCGCCCATATCCGTTCTTTTTTAACAAATTTAGAATCCAATCCTATCCGGTCCGCGGATTTATCCGTGGATAACGGATTTATCCGGCCCATGAAGTGCTCTACTGGGAAGCCCTTATATTCACACTAGGCAGAGGAGGCCCCTGAGACTGATGGTATGAGAGACCCTCATATTCACACCAGTCAGAAGAGGCCCCCGAGGCTGATGGCTGTGAGGCCCTTCTGTTCATATAACTGGCCACTGGAGGCCCCTGAAACCGGTGGTCTGGGAGGGCCCTCTATCCACACTAGTCAGAAGAGGCCCCTGAGACCGATGGTCTGAGAGGCTCTTATATTCATACTGGCCACAAGAGGCCCCTGAGACTGATAGTCAGATAGGTCCACTCCTAATGCATCTGAGGAGGCCCTCTATCCACATTTACACTTTTCTAGGGAGGCCCCCGAGACTGATGGTCTGAGAGGCCCTTTTATTTATACTGTCCACAGGAGCCCCCTGAGATTAATGGTCTGAGAGGCTCTTCTATTTATACTAACTAGAGGAGGCCCCTAGGATTGTTGGTCTACCAGGCCATTCTATTTATACTAGCCAGAGGAGGCCCATGAGACTAATGGTCTGAGAGGCCCCTCTATTCAAACTAGGCAGATGAGGCCCCTGAGAATGATAGTCCGAAGAGCCACGCGGCGGCAACTGGCCGTGGCCATATTTCGGCTCGGTAGGGCCCCACAGAGCTCATGAGAGCACCTCAAGGGCTCCTAAGTAGACACGCTTATCCCCATAAGGGTGCCATGCCGGCTTCTGAAGGCTCCTTGTAGGCATCTAAGGGCCCTTTCCGGCCTCTAACGGCTCCACCCGCCTGCGATGGCTCCACACCAGTGTTTATGAGCGTCACACAGCGGCGCCTTTGAGGGTCAGGTCATACTAGTGTCTCTTAGGGCCCTATATCGGTGGCTCTGGGGGCCCCGCACCGGCGCCTCTGTGGGCCACCACACCTGTGCATCTAAAGGCTCTATAGGTACCTACATCTGAAGGACCCACACCGACACCTCTGAGGGCCCCACACCAGTATCTCGGAGCTCTGAAGGCCCCACACCGGTGACTCTGAGGACTCACTGGCTCCTGAGAGCACCATGTTGATGTCTAACGGCTCCACAAGGCCACTGAAGGCACCACACAAGCTCTCACTGAGCTCTAATGTCCGTGTACCGGTCTCTGAGGGATTTAAGCCAGCGCATTCATAGCTCCACACCAGCAATTGTAAGGGCCTCACACTGAAGTATCTGAGGGTTCCACACCGGTGTCTCTAAGGGCCACATACCGGCATCTTTGAGGGCCCCATACCGGCGTCTCCGAGGGTCCACATCTGGCGGGCACCCATCAGCGACTGAAGGTCCCACACTGTCGGTCGACTCCGAGAGCCCCATCTGCGTCTGGGAGCACCATGCCGTCTCTAAGAACCACAGCGGCTCCTCCGTGCGAAAGATGGGCGTCTGCATGCCAAAGGGGAGCGGTTCTGAGACAGTAGGGCACCTACATACGTGCAATAGAGGGGCGCCTATGAAGCCCATAGGAGCGCCTCAATGCGAAAGAGGGGCGCCTCTGAGGCCTACATATATGGGCGTCCACATGCAATAGAGGTCTGCAAATTGCAATTGATCAATGCCATGGGGGTGCATTCATAAGAAACAGGGGCGCCGGCATGGCAAAGAGAGGCGCCTTCAAGTGTCCATAAAAGAGAGACGCCTATGATAACCGCACATTGTATATGCGACAACGGGGCGACTGTGGGACATATAGGGATATCTCTGATGACTATACATATAGGGCGCTTATATGCCAAAGAGGGTGCCTACGAAGCTAATGGGGGCACCTGGGAAACGAGGAAAACATTTGTGTAAGGGGTTTTAGGGGTCATGCGCCGTTTGCGGTAAATAGATTCTAAAAAAAAAAATCGGAGGGGAATAAGTTTTTAAAATGGTGCGGAATTTCCGCACTGTTCGCTTAAGCGGTTACGCCCCTGCAGGTACATCTGCCCGATCTCAAAAGCTAGATTTGGAGGTCATACTTGAAAGCAGCCAGCAGGACGAGGCAAAAGTGAGAGGCCCCTGAAAATAGGAGGCCCCCTGGAAAGGGAGGCCCCTTGACAGGGTGGCCCACCCACTTTTCATGACGTTCCTACGCCCGTGGACTATAATGTGAGTCAATGTGTACCAGTTACTGATAATGCAGGATGATGTGTGTCTGCAGCTGATGAGTACTCACGCGAAAGTCCACCAAATGTCGAAACTCATGACGTTCAGCCAGAACAGCGCGGCGATAAATGAGTAATACAGCATCAGACCTGCAATAGAACCGCATATTAGGTATTGACATTCACCGTAAATGACGAGCGGCTCCTTTACCATCAAGTAAGAGCTGCGTACATACCTCGGAGAATGTGTATGCAAGTAGGATTAGGAATTTAGGAACACTATATACATCTATATGCATGTTGCAAATGCCATCGGCGTTCCCTTTCTAGATCCTCCGCCGGATCCTACCTTGGGACTATATCGAGCCACGGGACTTCACCCAACTGAATAAGTCACGTCCATTATCGGTAGCCCTCGCAGAGAACAAACTCTTCTAAAACAATGGGTGATTGCGCCGCAGCTGGGAGCAAGTGTTCCTCAGTGGTCGTTGGAGTTCATAGCCACGCGAAGAACGAGGTGGTAAAGAAGGGGAGGCTTTTGTGTGCCCATTAGACGTTCTATGGCGCCACTTACTCGAACACATTCCGTTCTCCCAGCTCCTGGGGCATAGCTCGAGTCGGCATCTGCGGCACCCAGCCCTGACAGCAGCAGCAGCAGTCCCTCCTAATACCGGCAGCTGCAGCACCCAGCCGTGATAACAGCAGCATGGCAGTCCCTGCTCATGCTGGTACCGGCAGCTGCAGCACCCAGCCCTGATGGCAGCAGCATGGCAGTCCCTGTTGATACCGGCAGCTGCAGCACCCAGCCCTGATAGCAGCAGCAGCAGTCCCAGCTGGTTCCGGCAACTGCAGCACCCAGCCCTGATAACAGCAGCAGCTCCTGTTGGTACCGGCAGCTGCAACACCCAGCCCTGATAGCAGCAGCAGCAGTCTCTGCTGGTACCGGCAGCTGCGGCACCCAGCCCTGATAGCAGCAGCAGCAGTCCCTGTTGATACCGGCAGCTGCAGCAGTGCAGCACTCAGCACCTTATAGTGCTGACAGCTGCTGCCCTCAACTCTGGAGCTGGCAGCTGCACCATTCAACCCCTGGTGCAGTGCTCAGCTATTGGTGTCAGCAGCTGCCAGCTGCAGCGCCGTCGCAATTTAGCCAACAACGGGGGCAGGGGAGCGTGACATTGCACTGAGACCGGCACCCGCTCGGCCGGGCCACAGCCCACCATACCAGCCGGCTGTATGTGGTAGACTCTTCGAAAACACAGGGCCAAATATGAGACCTTGGACGGGCAGTACGATATGTATGTGCTGCGTGATGTGATGCAGATTATGGGGAAAGACGTATCAAGCTATCAATCCGTAGATATCTGATATTACGCTCCCCGTGCTCTCGTCCATTCATTCAATTGTCGGTCTGTGGAGACGATTGCTGCCGTCTGCAGCTCTGTACTGCTGCATTGCCAGTCCGTGACCGTCCTTGGACAGCTGGCCAGTGCAGCGGTATATGAGCCTCGAGCGGCTCTGCAGTGAGCTCTGTTCGCCACCCACTGTAAACTGGGCCCTTTGCACGGAACGTCCGGAATTGGGTGCGATCGGGAGACCGTGCAGCATGTAGTGCTGGAAAGCGGGTGTGTGAGGAGACGGCTGATCATACCTATGTTCAGGTGCATGTCTAGTAACTCGATTCGGTTGCTGTCGGTAATGCCTGTCTGGTTGCACAATGAACAGGAGATAGGTAGGGTAAGATGCCTAATTAGCGACCCCTTAATTTGAACAATTACTGCTCACCCTTTATGGGTGCCATTGTATTACTGGATTGATTTTCGGATAGATCGTTCATTTTCCTATCAGGATAAAGAATTTATTCATTTTCTGCCCTGCAATATCCACAAATTTATTTGTAGTGAGCATGTTGGCAAAGCATTGCAAAAAAAAAACGCTAATGGGGAATTCGTCCCGATTTGCGACCGGGGAGGATCGCTAATAGGTCTATGAGTTTCCCCATATAAATGGCGAAAATGCCTACGCTCGAAAACATGAAATAAGATACTTGAATGTAACATATACGCAAAACACTTAATCACTGGAACAGGAGCATTTAGCCAGCACATGTTTGTGGAAGCTGGTCACGTAATGCACCACAGGCGAAAAGAAGGCGAAAACACATTTTTTGGAGGTTATCCCGTATTGTATTCGAGGCCCGCATTGGATTCGGCACCCATGCAGTCTGCCATGGCAATTGGTATCACCCGCCACACATCGCAAGCCTCAGCAACCCCTCATTTTCTCTTTAGTCTCTCCCATTCATTTGCCTTCTTGAGCTATTGGCGAACATGTCGGGCGCAAATAGAAAATACAAGCGGCTGCGCCACTTGCTTCGCGGCGTAGCCATAAAATACGCAGCAGCCAGTTTGCTTTCGAATGGTGTTTGATTCATACCGATGAGCCGTCTGGAAGCAGATATATAAAGGAATATACTGATGGCTTAGTTTGATAAAATTTGGGTCATACGGGGTCAATTCAGGTCAAGTCGGTTATCCCCGGCATTTTTAAAACTCGCCTAAAACGTCTCAACAAGGGCACCGACGACAACCGGAAAAGAATTGAGATTGCCAGGCAATGTATGACGGCCCTTTCAACATTGCTTTCTCCACGATTTCTCTTACCAGTTTTTCTGTAAGGAGGTGGGTCGCAAAGGAAAGGGTCGCTTATAGGCAACCTTACCCTACTGTACCTTACAATTCTTCTTTTAGTACGATTTACGATCATTAAAATCGCGCCTGTAGGAGCACCATTTTGACGCCTACCCCTCCCCCAATTGTTTATAGCACATCACAATTTTTTCTCAAATGTAAGAAAAAATCAGCTCAGGGTCATCCAGTCCTAGAGTCAGGTCAGCAAGTCACGACAGGTAACCTCAAATATCATACCTGTGGGCTAAAACCGCATACGACATGCGTGTACGGTGTAGGTGTAGGTACTTGCTACCTATAGGGTATGGCCTTGGTATGGCCACCTAATGTACGCTGTCAAAGCACACTGAAACCCCTACAAACAGAAGTGCATGTATAGGTTCAATGGAATGGAATGGTATGCGACTGTCTCGGAAGTGATGGATCTAATTACCATTGTAAAACATGCTCACCTAATGCGTCGCAGCCGGGTCCCAGTTCCACGCCGTGCAGCTGGTTGAAGACGGTGAGGAAGAAGGCGACGAAGAGCGCCGCCGCGTGCGACATCAAACACTTCCCGTGGACGTTCCGCAGCTTGGGCACCAACATGTAGATCGCCAGCATGATGAACAGACAGATGAAGGAGATGGTCAGCAGGGTGCTGTTGACGTACTCCCGAATCGAGGCCTCCAGGTCCTCGGGCTGGCAGCAGATGGCCGTCTCGACCACGTGGTTCTCTTTCGTGGACTTGTCATAGAAGACCTCGGAATCGATGCAGCACTGATGGGCCTTGAAGGTCAGGTTCAGTCTGGGCACCTGGATGTCCCCGTTCACCTGCAGAAAGGGCACGTCCTTCTCGCCCACCCTCCTGCTGAATATGAAGTTGTGGCCACCCTCGCACTCGGACCTGCCGTACAGGAGGGTGAAGTTGTCTGGCTCGGGAACGACGAGCTCCTCCTGATGGAAGGTCGGCCGCCACTGGCTCGTCGTCGCAGGGATGCAGTAGGTGTTCGACAGAAGGAAGTTTGCCGCACAGCACTTGCGTGTGCAGACGCTCTCCGAGGGGCACAGCTCCTCAAACTGTTCTTCAGTGTGCCTCTCCGTTTCGTCGTAGCAGACATGCCCAATCACCTGCGGCTTTGGTGAGGGGCTCTGCAGCACGTCCAGGCAGAAACGGTCGGGGTTGAGCGTCACATTATACAGATCAACCAGAAGGTGTCCGTTTGCCTCCAGGAAGAACTTGTTGTGATCGGAATGAAGATACTGCGGCACTGCGTTTTGAGGGCACCTGAAGTCCCCTTCGGCCCGAATCTCGGCCTTTTCTGGCGGCAGCGGAACTAGACTGGTGGGATCACCGTGCAGTACCTCCGGCAGCCAGCTGACCGAACTGTTGGCGCAGTCAAAGTCCTGCGTCTCGCGGTTGACCACCAGCAGCTGGCCGACGGGACAGCACTTGCGGAAGGCGACTCGGGTGACGTTGTCGATGCTGACGAGACCCGCCACCTGTGGAACCACCTTGGGCACGCAGCAGCGCAGCGTCTCGAAGATTTGGCCGTCGTGCTCGATGTTACGGAAGCAGTAGTCGTGCCCGAGGTGGTAGACGTCGCTGTCAGTAGTCACCGTCAGCTCTCCGCTGGGCTGCAGCTCGAACGCCGCCCGCGGCTCACTGAACGTAGTGAACGTGACCTGATCCTCGTTCGGGCCGCACTCCCTCATCGGCCCGCCCACCACCTTCAGGCTGACGTCGCCACTCAGAAACGAAGGTGTCCACCTGAGTGGGCTCTCAGTACACTCGCGGGCAATGGCATTCTGTCCCTCGGGACAGCAGGTTCGCACACAATAGTCTGCTGTCGACCCCCCACATATTGAACTAGCGGTACTGGCGGTCACACTGTCACCCACACCTTGAGAGGCACAGACGCCCAGTACACCGAGCAGACACACCGCCACCGACCGCCGCATGGCTCTCCCGGTCAGGCACCGCGGATACTGAAGGTCGAGCCGCCGCCGGCCGCCGTTATAAGCACCCAGCACGTGCCCGTGCACGCCCGGCGCCGGCTCTGCGCGGTAGCCGACTGGCGTGCGGCGCGGCGCGTCACTGACAGCCGATGAGTGCGGTGCCGCCGAGCTGACCGGCACGGGCGGTCCCCGGCGGCTCCCGCGCGTCTGCGTCACCCCGGCCGGCGTGGAAAGTACGCCTGCCCTCCCTCCCCGGGTGGCTGAGCCGGCCGTCGACCTTGGTCAGCACGCGACACACTACACGCTGCCGACAGTCTCCATTATCCAGTGTGGTTGGAGGGTTTAGCTAATACCGTGACTCGTGAGTGTTCGTTCGAAACGAAAGTTAGGTTAGCTGCTATCAATGGCTGAACTGGACACTATCCTCGAGATATAGTAATAGCACGCATTTGCACCATGTTTGTTTTTAGTCGGCCTACACATAAGTAGTTTGAACAATACTCGGGCTTAATTTCGGCTCAGATTTTGTAAGTCCGACCCTGAATTGGACTTCGGCCAGAAATTCGGCCGACTCTGATTACGCAGCCCCGATCTGAAGCCTGGTAACATAACTGTTTCACCTAATGCAATGACCGTCGGGCACCGTTCCATCGGAAATTTCAGCGACACTTCTTTCCTATCGACATTGTTTCACCTCTCTGCCTTCCAGCAGCAGAGTTAGATCGGACGATAATAATCGGCCCACCCTATGGGACCGCAGAAGGGACACATATCTAGCACCGCATTGGGCCACAAATTAGCCGGCGATGAAAAAAGGACGCAAGGAGACAATGGTTTATTTTACAGCATATGAACAATGTGACGAATACGCATCATGAGTCGCATGAACTCAGATAACCAGCCCGAAAAGTACCCACGGCGACGGTAGAGTGCGGACCGGCCATCGCGTCAGCCGCGTCGTCCCGAGTCGGTATCGGCTGACAGCGCGCATCGCAGGAGTGACACCGGTCTGCAAGAGCGACACACTGGGGCTCTCCCAGAGCCAGCAACCACCAAAGACAGCGTTCCACAGCTTCCACACCACGTCCACTCGCGTCCACACACCCGCGTCATCCCGGCGCAGAGGAGCGAGTCGCGCGGGAGCGGTCTTCACCGCACTTCTCCGACCCCCACCGAGCATCTTTCGACCAGAGTGCCGAATATCTCCGCCCGCCTTGAGACCGGCTAGTCGCTGCCGAAGATCTCCTCCTCGTCGCGTTTCTTCTGTTCGTTTTCGGAAGAGCTGGAGCTGGCAGAGCCAGACGAGGAGCGGGACGCCGCCGACCTGCCCAACACCGGTCTGCGGTTAGTACAGGGGGCAAGGGTGTCCGCGCGCACAGCGATCAGCATACGATGGATTTATAAGGAGTAAGTCTAAATGACAATAAATCGACATTGTATCTAAATATACCTACTGCTGATGAGTGATAAGCAACTTTGATAGGCTGATAATGATGCTGATAATTACAGCCAAATAAATAAGGCTTAGACACATCCTCAACAAATAAATAAATTAGGCTCAGAGCTTAGTCACTGAGCTAAGCTCAGAGGTTTACTCTGTGGTATTGCTAAGTATTACTGGTAGCCACTGTGGTAAGTACTAACAAGTGCTACTACAATGCTAAGTGGTATTACACTCAGTGGTCTAGCAATCGAAAACGCATATGCGGGAAATGAAAAGTGTTCAGTAGCAGAATATAGACGAAAAAGAAGCACGACCGTTAACATCTAATTGGTATGGACTATGGATATGGATATGGGCAGACTTAGGATTCGCGACATGGGCGGCTCAGAGAAGCTCAGTGCACAACGAGCGCAGTTCCAGCCCGTCCACGATTCCACACATCCCGACAAGTTAAGCTAAGTAGGGGAGAGCGGGGCCAGTTGAAACACGGGGTCAGATGAAACATGGCTTTATTTTCAACAGTATGCAACATATGGCGTTGCCGACACCACTGCGCATCCGCGCTCGACCACTTCCTTTGTCAACGGCGTTTGGACGGCAAACGGACGGTAATTTTGATTTGACACTTGTTTTTGTGTTTTTGAGGGGCGTTTGGGAGAAATCGTTCTTATGAATATTTTGTGATATCTCATATATCTTTGTTTGCTGAAAGAAGAACTCCTGGCTCCGGAATAACACCTTATTTGGCCCTTCATTCAGCATGATGCCGTCCCTCCAGCTCGTTTGACATGTGCTTTACGGCGCGTGCGAGATAGCGGGAGCGGATGGGGTCAATTGAAACGCTTCTCTGAGGGTCAGTTGAAACAGGGCCACAGGCCGTTTCAATGGACCCCGGTGACCTTTGCAATGGTTATTGTTCAGGGGCTGTAAACATTAAAGGAAATAGTCCACCTTTGAAATGAGCTTTTAAACTGAAATAGTAGTTTAATAGAGCTCAATTTTGACCCCTTTTTCTCCAGCCTTTTGCTTGAAAGCCCACTATAGCCTGAGATATTTCTCATTTTTCTCATCCGCCCATTTTACCATAGTCTATGTACTTTATGTCACCTATTATGAGGAACTTTACACTTTTAGCTTTCCAACGACCTAATGAATGTAGCATTTGGAAAAGTAAACCGGACAAAATATCTCCTTAAGAAAGTGGCCTTAAAGAGGAAAACATCCCATTGTTAAGGATAGGTGCAATTGACCCCATGGGCTGGTTCAATTGACCCTCGCATCGGGGTCATTTGAAACGGGCGTAGAGCTGTTTTATAAGCATGCGTTTGGCAGCAAAATATGTTTGAAACATAATTTTACATATCTCAAAATAAAGCCAAAAGAGCATATTTTTTCATGGCATTGTGCATTTTTCGATATGACAACTAGATCTCGCTGTGCATGTCAATATATAAAAAGTGGTTCAACTGGCCCCGCTCTCCCCTAGTGAGTACGTTTTGTAACCTCCCAGTCTGAAGGGACCCTTCCCGCGCGGCCCGCGGATCCCCGAACTCACTGCCGCGAGTCGTTGGAGCTGGCCCGGCTGGCGGCAGACGACGAGCGCGACCGAGAGCCAGACGCCGACCGGGAGCGTGAGCGAGACTTGGAGCGCGACGGCGAGCGCGACTTGGACCGGGACTTCGACCTGGACTTGGACGGAGACGGCGACTTTGATCGCGACCGCGACTTCGACCGTGACTGGGAGCGGGACTTGGAGCGGGATTTGGATCGCGACTTGGATCGCGATTTGGACCGGGATTTGGACCTGGACCTGGACCGGGACGGTGAGCCGCTGCCGCTGCGGTTCGCCGGAGAGCGGGAGCCGGATCTGGACCGGCCAGACTTGGCGCTTCCTGTGGGAAGATAGCCCAGCGCGTCACATGTCAGCAGATTCCGCCAAGTCTCGGAGCACAGTGACTCACGCTGCTCCGAAGGGAAATGCGACACGAGAGCATTGATCACGAACGTGGAACATATGCGCCGTAGTTTTAGTTATAAATTGCATGAAAAGTACACCAAACGGTAATCCCAGCCGGGAAAAAAGTGAATAACACGGACATATTGCTGTTAGAAGATAAACCTTATACACACACGAATGAAATGAAATTACATCTGAGATCAAAGTAATCACCAGCTTCAGCACATGCAAAACACATCACTCAACTCAAACAGCACGCGACCATTAATCACTCTACCTAACAGACTGATACCGGATACGCCGCTTGAACCCGCCCCTCGCCCTCACACGCCGTCAGAAACCACTCCCTCGCCCCCAGACCCCCGGATTAGCTGTACGATACTGCTAATTTCCCGCAGGATCACCTCACACGCCATTTCGACCCATCCTTCACTCGTAAGCTGTCTTAGCCCCGAATCTCCCTCCCCTCCGACCCAGCCCTCAGACCCGGCACTCCCCCCCCCCCCCCCCAGCCCCCGCGGCGCCCACCTGCGTCACTCTCGGCGTTGGCTGCCGTCTCGGGCAGACCCTCCTCCTCCTCTTCCTCATCCTCCTCCTCATCCTCCGGTTCCTCGCCGGGTGGCTCGAGCTGGCGCTCTCTGTAGCGCTGCACGCGGAACTCGGCCGAACTGAGCGGTCGGTGACGGACCACTAGCCGGGACCGGCTCGGAGCCGTGCCCTTCTGACGGCGCTTCGAGAGACGCACCCTGAGGTAGACAGACGCAGGGAGGGGGTCAGATGGGCAGGTGGGGGGGGGGGGGGGGCCACTGGACATGCCGTTGCCACCGCTTACCCCCGGGCTCTTCATGCTCATTGCTTATACTAGCTGCTGAATGTACCAGCGTTTATATTACAGGATGACTATGACAAGAGCGCTGCATGGCGTATAAATGCTAGTTGTCGGGACGGGCCCATGCCGTACCCGAACACTCATTTATCGGACACTCTGACTCCGAGGATTGACCCCGTGACGTCAGGCGCGCGACCGCGGCGGCCGGGGCGAGACCTGAGGCTCTTTCGCTCACTGGACGGCGCGACAGGCGGTCGTGATAGGCATCCCACCCCCACCCCGTCTGCCACCCATGTATAATTGCATAATGTACAGCCCACCGCTAAAGTAATGTAGGGTTTTACCAATCTCAACGGTTGGCTTTGACTGGCGATTGTTTAATGCGGAGTGCTCGAAAAGAAGATGTCAATAGCTAAAATTGCAGCTGCAAGGGTGACGATACATATAAGCTACATTCAAAGTTTCATTGTAGTCTGGCTAATCGTTCCTAAGCTTCAGAAGCAGAACATACCCATGACTGAAACCCCACATTACTTCTGCTGTGGACTGTACATAATGTATAATGTGATGCTGTAAATGTACGTCGCACAATGTTTTATGAGGACTGTGCATATTGTAAAGTGAGCACCGAATAGCCAATAGCAGTCCCATACGGGTACGCTAAGTCATATGTTCAGTGGTTTCAGTATAATTTGTCACTTGCTGAAATTGGATCCTTGTTTGGTCCGTCATTTTTGGAGGGTATTCCGATTCGTCAAGGTGAGTTTTGTTATCTTCTGGGCGGGTCACCACACAAAGGCTGGCTGTGTGAACTGAGTATGGTGTTGCCTGACGAATACAATCCCTTTGCACATGCTAGCCTTTCCTCGGGAGCGAGTGGGCGGATAAACAATGAGATAACTAACACAAAAATAGTGACATTTCCGATGACGCGCTATCCTGCACCAGGCTTCATAACAGGATAAAGCGATGAGCTCACCCACAGATTTATATATATATATGTATATATATATATATATATATATATATATATATATATATATATATATATATATATATATATATATATATATATATATATATATATATATGTTACGGGCCAAGTGCGAAGGCTAGTCCGTTTGCGAACGGACTAGTCCATTCGCGAATGGACTAGGCCGTTTGCGAATGGCGGTCCGTTTGCAAACGGACTAGTCCGTTTGCGAATGGTCGGCCATTCGCGAATGGCCTAGGCCGTTTGCGAACGGACGGGTTTGTAGCGTTGCACTTAGCCGCCGGAAGCATGGATCCTCGGATTGGGGTACGATTCCGAATGAATGGGGGACCGCTGGTCGATGCAGGGGCATCGCCGACGGGGGCGGGGGGGGGGGGGGGGGTCGGAGGGGTCCGGACCCCCCCCCACACACACACATTCTTGAAAATATGCCGGTCCGACGCCCCCCCCCCCCCCTCCCCCCCACACACACACTTTTGGCCACGAAAATCGATCAAGAATAAAATAAAATATTTTAAAAACGATTTTGGTGCATTCTCAAAATAAAATTGTCTAAATCCGAGGAGTTTTCAGTATTTGGTGGGGATTACTTTGACTGACCGTCCGACCAGATCCCCTAGTCGAAAATCCGTGGCGACGCCACTGCGTCTATATGTTTAGTTTGTTCTCCGGAGCAGATCTGCGAGCTGGCGCAACTCTGGGTTAAGGTCTCCACACACCTGGTCCATTCGGGATGCGACTTTCCGCTGAACCCTGCACAACGCGGAAATTATAGCAACGTGTTGCCGCTGGCCAGGCTTCGGCCACCGATCTGGATCTGGGGAGGTCAAATATCCCCGTGACCTTCGAACAGCGGAGAGTCGCGTGGTGTGCGGAGACCATTAGTACCGTGCTCCGGGCTCCCCGCTGATGACCCGACCTGACCTTGGTCGAGTTTGTGGCACTCGATTCATGTAAGCATTTTCCGGTTGAGTTACCAATATTTGCACCAGGGCTGCGGAGTCGGAGTCGGAGTCGGTCGGAGTCGACAGTTGTGACCGGAGTCGGAGTCGGAGTCGATTTTAGAAACCCGAGCCGGAGTCGAAGTCGGAGTCGGAGTCGGAGCTGGTTTTTGAAAGCCGGAGTCGGAGTCGGAGTCGGAGTCGCCGAAAATTCATCGACTCCGCAGCCCTGCAGTTTACACGCATCATTTCACACGGGACTTTGCACATGCCAAGTTGACTTGCCAAGTTGACATCACTTTGCTGGATGTTTCGCACTTGGCCTGACTTCGCACTTGGACTGGGAGCATAAACGCCCGTCCATTCGCAAACGGCCTAGGCCAACTGCAATAACGCACATGGACTAGTCTATTCGCAAACGGCCTAGTCCAAGTGCGTTATCGCACTTGGACTAGGCCATTCGCGAATGGACTAGCCTTCGCACTTGGCCCGCAACATATATATATATATATATATATATATATATATATATATATATATATATATATATATATATATATATATATATATATAAATTAGAGATGGCAAAAGATGACAATTTTGGGAACCAGACTCGAACCAGACCCGGCTGAACATTTCTGGAACCAGTCGGACCCGGTCTTAGTTGGAATCGGAACCAATTGGACCCGTTCCCGAAAAGGCCAAAAGTCAATTAATACAAACTACCTGTAGGTATCATTAGTTGCATCATGTAAAACAGTATATTTCCCACTGGGAATGCTCATGAGCTACTGTGTGCAAAGAAACATTCACTTCATATTCTGCAATAATGTGCAGTGTGCAAGATGTATAGCTTATGGTAGGACCCGATTGGACCCGTCAGAAAATTTCCAGGAACCAATCTGGACCCATATGGGTCTAGACTGGTTCTTTGGACCGGGTCCTCGGGTCCACATTTTGCCACCTCTAATATAAATATATATATATATATATATATATATATATATATATATATATATATATATATATATTTATATATATATATATATATATATATATATATATATATATATATATATATATATATATATATATATGTTACGGCCCGTTTGAAAACGCGGCCCGTATTGATACTGCCCGGCCCGTATCAATACGGGCCGGTCAGTATCAATGCGGGCCGGTCAGTATCAATGCGGGCCACCTCGCCGGTCGGTATCAATACGGACCGGGCAGTTTTAATACCGGCCGGGCAGTATCAATGCAACCCACTTTTTACCTCACGGCCATATCAAAACTCGGGCCATTTCAAAACTAAGCAAATGGTCTGTCTCCATTCCATTTATTAGCACCGTAGGCCTGCAGTGGACGCCCACATCAATTTTACACACGGCGTGGCAAGTTTGAACCTGCTACATGCTAAGGTCAGGTCACCAGGTCACTTAATGACCCGACTTCAAATCAATTTTTTGCAACTTGCTACCGTGTCAGAGCTACAATAGATGACGGAGCGCCTTGAAAGTTACAGGATGTAATGAGGCCATCGTTAGCTATAACTTGTATATTTGGGAATTTTTATATCGATGGTCTAAGGTCAGGTCAATTTCGTGACCACCCCATTATGAGTCAATGGGGAAAAACCAGCTGCCTTCTTTTTGCACTGAAACTAGTCGTAATGGCCTATTATGCCACACATGACTTCATTTAAGACCATGGGCGCCATATATAGCCTCGTTGCTGGTGCTCACTAAAGGCTGAAACAGACTCTTTCCGCGTTGAGGAAATCGCATGCGAGAGCCTATTCAAATACATTATAATTCTCCCCGCACCAATCGCATGCGTGCAATTGAAGCGAACGTGCTTCCATGTATATGAATAGGCTCTCGCATGCGATTTTCTGACTGCGGGAAGAGTCTGTTACTATATGCCTGGCCTATTCAAATACATTAGTCGGAGGGGTGTGGTAATAACTGGTGTAAGCAAATTGACCACGGCCAAAAATGCATTACCAGTGTGCACTAAAGCCAATATTTTGGGATAGTCTCGTTCCTAAGTTGGCTCAGAGCTTCGGTTTAGAACATACAATGTAATGTGTAACATACAATGTAAATTTATCGTTGGCATACAATAAAATACATGCCAAACTCGGCCGGTGATAAATTTTCAAGACCTTAGTCCTTACTAATTTTTGAACTCGGCCTTCGGCCTCGTTTAAAGGGACCCTCCCACCTTAACATTAGATTTGAGTTGAGATAGCCAAAATGGGGTCCCTGGCTCACAATTACCGGTTTCGGCACTCACAACATCGAGAAATGCCTTAAATCGGAAATATTGAATTTCAAAATTGCAGCATTTTGATTCAGAGGGGCTAATGCATAGGAATACCCCTCTGAATGTGTGACGTCAGCGCAGATATCTAACGATTTTTAAATGTTTGACTAAAACGTTTTGTAGCACGCGGTGGTATATGCTGCTTTGCGCGCAACAAATGCCGCACTTTCAAATAAAGTCGCTAGTAACAGCGGAGATCCCAAAAAGTAAACAAAAGTAAAAGTCAAATATCTTGAAAACCGGTGAATATTTTTCGATGAAATTTGGTAGATATTTGTTTTTGCTCTTTCTGAACCGAGCGACATCACTTTCATGCCAATTCATTAACTTTTTTGAAGGTGGGAGGGTCCCTTTAAAAATCCAGTAAGGACCTCGGTCTTGAATATTTATTTACACCGGCCTCGTTCAGTATTATATACTAGATGCCGGCAGCGCTCTTGCGTTGCCTTGGGCCAGAATTGGAGGTACGGTACTGACGGCACACACCGGGCCAAACCACCGAAACCCAGACTGAGCTTGGACTGAACCTGAAACCAACCGAAACATCCCAAAAATGCTTGGAAGCACGTTAGATTGGTGTGGATATCTACCTACAGTAAGATATGCACGTGCATAGTTCATGTCCCAGGCACCCCAGTGCAGTCATTTTCATGGCATCCTGTAGCGTGTGTCTAGTTCTATCAGTGTACCGACTTTTGTGTCGCTAGCTCGACGTTTCCCGTGATCAGAGGATCCATCGTCAAAACCGTTAACCGCCCCCCGCACGCGCAGCTTGCACCCCTCGGATATTATCTCGCCGAAATGTCATGATTCAATGCATTTTTCTTATGACCTGCAAGTTTTGAACCAGTTAGAGCCGCCGTTTACCCTGCAGGCGTGGCAACGTACGAAGGGGTGCAATCGGCTTGCACGTGCATAGCTCATGCACCACAGTTTAGCTCAACCAAATGTGCACTATTTTGGAGGCCTTGCCTGGGACTACAATTGAACCGATTTTGAGGTTGATAGCTCAAAATTTATTTGAGCCAGAGGACCTCACGTCAAAACGGCTTTCCGCCACCAGCACGTGCAGCCTGCACCCCTCGCAGACGGTGACCCCCCTGGAAACTGGTTCAAGGTGTTACCGATGTGTCCCGCCAGTATGGCTTTGCCCGTGACCTCGGGTTGACCTGTAGCCTTGACAAAAAATTTCGTGTCACCGAAACTTTGAAGCGGAATAGCATGTGCCACGAAGCACCGAGCGAACCGAGGCCAGCACCAAAAGTTTACCTCGCCGGAGACGAATCAAACGGTCCCACTTTCGTCCCGATCGGTCCACCCATTTTGACTCCAGGTCCAAAAAAGCTTGGACAAACTCACATACATACTGACAAACACAAGGACAAACAGGTTCAGCCGAACTTTTTTTCAGCGACCCACCAATGGGAATTTCCGGATGCAAAAGCATGCTATCGCATGCTTTTGATCCTCCAATTCTGGATTACCAAATGTTCGACCGATTGCTAAAATCGGTGCCTCCGAGAGTGAGGTCTCATTATGATGTCATTCACGAGAATGTTTAAATAAAGAAATAGCGGCTGGGTCGTTGGCCCAGTTTTGCTGGCGGAACTGATTGAAAGATACGTGTTTTGCCTAACTCAATATAATAATTAATTTGATATTAATTACGACGTAAGCGCATAGCTGCCACTAGCACATTGCCGCTGCCGCCGTCGCCTAAACACCAAATCATCATCAATAATCATCATCATCATCATCTATGACCAGCCTTGACTAACTTGATGTATTAATTGCTATTGGACAACTGTAAGGTCATGTGACGTCATCAAAGGTAACCAAAGGATTTTTTGCTAATCACTCCTTACAGAAAAGAAATACAGCTTTGTGAATGGTCTCATTGTGTTCAGCTCGTCAAGGTACGTACATCGAATGATGTACATGATGACCTTGAGGCCACGTGATCTAAGGTCAATATTTGACCTCGTCCTTTCGAGGTCAACATAAATGTTTCTATGTGGATTCACGAGAGAATCACTATGGTGCTACTTTGGCCTAGCTTTATTACTTCAATCGTTATTCGTGAAAAAAAAAACTGTCCATAACTCTGGCGCCGCAATTTTGACTTTTTCACCCCTGTTATGTCATTTTTGACCTGACCTGAAAATGACCTCAGTAAAAATTGTAGATCTTGTCCATTATTATCCCATGCTGTTTACCGCTTGTCGCTAGCTTGCTCCGTTTTCGAGATCTTAGAGGGGCGGTCATCCCCTGTCGGTGCGAAGTTGTCGTGGACCCCCGTCGGTGCGCGAGTTAATGGCGTTTTGAACTATATTAGTAATCTTTAATAACATCTTTTTTATCGAGCAGAGGCCTCTTGCACCAAAATCCTCTTGCACTAATGCTTGGATTATTTTGCATCGTATACCCAGTCCAAGTCTCAAATGTAACAATTTGCGTGCAAAATTTAGCAAGCACATGTAGGATTATGTATTGGGCTATTGCAAACAAATTTACCACCGTTAGATTAGCTTTTTCTGAAACCGTTTTTTCGATTTTACCTAGCTAGGTAGTTTGGTGCAGTTTTGTCATATATGTATTACTCCCGAACAATAGTTCAACATCTTTTCATATTCTCTGATCTCTCATATTCATTCGTTCGCTTCGGTAGTCTCGGGGTACTGTTTCGGTCTTGTAATCGGATGGTTGTGGGTTTGAGACATGGTTGGCGAATATTCTTTTACATGTGGCTACAAATTTTATCAGTTTGCCACATACATGAGCATGTATTCAGAGCTTAATAATTGACATTGCAGGAAACAGAGAAGTTTTGAACTAAAAGGTGGGCAGAATTGATACTGCCCACCTAAATCGGCCGTATCAATACCGACCGGCGAGGCGGCCTGCATTGATACGGGCCGGCCCTCCGGTCGGTATTAATACGGGCCGGGCAGTATCAATACGGGCCGCGTTTTCAAACGGGCCGTAACATATATACATATATATATATATATATATATATATATATATATATATATATATATATATATATATATATATATATATATATATATATATATATATATATATATATATATATATATATATATATATATATATATATATATATATATATATATATATATATATATATATATATATATATATATATATATATATATATATATATATATATATATATATATATATATATATATATATATATATATATATATATATATATATATATATATATATATATATATATATATATATATATATATATATATATATATATATATATATATATATATATGGCTCACCACACACGGAGTGACCCCATCTCCAACCGCAGCGCCGCTGAGTAACTTACCGCGTCTCCAGCTCGTTGTAGAAGACCTTGTCGTCGCGCGTGATAAAGAAGTAATTCTCCTCGTAGCCCTTGGACGCCTTGTTCTTCACGTTCCAGTTGTACTCGCGGTGCATGACGTAGTCGTATTCGACATCGTCCTGGGGTTAAGCAACGCGAAAAAGAGCGATGTCAAGCTGAGGTGTCGCAACTGATTTATGCACTTCTGTACCTATTACAATGGTGAATAGCGGCAAAACAATGTAGGGGAGAGTGGGGCAAAGCGGCCACCCGGGGCAAAGCGGCCATCCATCGTTTTAGCCCTCCACAGCTGGCGTCAGTTCCAATTTATGATTTCCAATTATACTTCTCTTTGGGGTCGTTCGAATGAGCCAGACCGGGGTTTCAGGCCCATCGCCATTGTTCTGTGAAACACGGAAAAGCATTTCTTGCCAGGTTACCAATTATGTTTACAATTTTTAAATGTTATTTTATTCCATAACCGTTTGGAATTTTTATAAGCGTTTTTGTCCATGCATTGCGTGGTTATCGTACATGCCTTCTACCAATTTCAATGCTTTTTACCCCACTAATAGCTGAGCTGGAATATTTTTGTCTCGGACGGTATGCGCGGGGCAAAGCGGCCGGGGCAAAGTGGCCAGCCCCCAATTGGCCATAAGTTGTTTCCATCTGGATAAAAACATTATTTATATTCAAATGTGTCGTCATGCATTCATCTTGGCCACTTTTCGGTTACATGAGTTACCAAATTATGCAATTAAATGTTTTTCCAAGAAAATTCTTTCTTTGTTTAGCAATAGGTGGAAAGATAACAAAGTAAACATCCATCTTCCCTTAAACCTTGTCACCATCAAATACCCTAGTCGTGCATGAGGCAACTATTCTGTTTCTCATATCGGGACTTGAGAAGTCGCCAGTGGCCGCTTTGCCTCAGGGATGGGGCAAAGTGGCCAATATGCTATAGGTTTAAAGTTTTGTCAATATCTCCCACATGTGAACGCCTTTGGAAATGAAACGCAGTTGGAATAAAAGACAATTTAATAGGGATCACATTGGTATAGAAAGAATATTTCCAAGTTTAAAAATCAAGCGTCGGCATCGTTAGAAACGTTAGGGTGGCCGCTTTGCCCCACTCTCCCCTACGCCAATATTTCCAGAGTATATCATTAAATGCATTGCATACACTTCAGACTGAATTACCCTAGAGCTATTAGCACGCTACTGCTACAAGTGCTGTAATTCTTGCCACTTTCCCATCTTCCCCGGTCTAGCTACACTAAATCGCAAACCGAACCTTTGCAATCCCGCGCCGCTGTAGCCCCACCCCAGCCTGTAACTGACCCTGTACTCGACTCCGGCCTCCGAGTCCTCTTTCCTCTTGACCAGCGTTTCCTCGCTGGGGAGGAAGTAGGCGACAAACTGCTCCTCAAACTCGTCCATCACACCCCTGGGAAACGGTAACGGGTCAGGTCAGGTCAGAGCTTAGTCCTGTGAGATGGTACAGCCAGCTCAGGGCCACAGCTGTGGCACGGCACCGGGTAACAGTAACGGAGCAGTACAGCAACGGATCAGATCATAACACTGTGACACAGTCCCAGGTCAGATCATACACGTGACGCAGCACCGGTTCGCATCGATCGGAGATCGATCAGGACACAGTCCGTCTACAGTTACTGTTTACACAGCTCTCTGACGAACTACGACTCGACCGCGCAGTCGGCCCACTGAGGCGGAAGGGAACGAACAGGAATGGAACGAACAGACACAACCCGATAAACCCCCACCCAGCACACAGCCCAGTGACTGACCTGATCATGGCCTGGGACATGACCTCCACCTGTTCGTGGGCAGGAATGTTCTGTGGCGCCGGGTCAGAGTCGAATATGACCTGAGCGCACGGGAACTTCCACAGCTGAAACGATAAAATGACACGATCAGTAACCTAATGCTGGAGAAAATGGCTCTCGCTTTCAGTAACTTGGTAGGGTAGGGTGCCTAACGTTATACAAAGTAACTATGAATTAAAATAAAACCAAACAGTGAAAACCTGACTAACGACTCTGAGGACAGATGAAGAAAAAACTGGGTAACACCAATTCTCTGCGATATAAAGGTCAATTAACCTTATCATATCCATTCTGTTAAGCAAAATGCACAAAGCAAGTGTGAACACATATCAACCAGCTGCAGTAGAACGTACGTCAAAGTCGGGGAAGACGGGCATCTCAGCGACGGCGGTGACGCCCGGCTTGCTGTAGTGTTTGAGCACCGGCTTCTTGACGTCCTCGAACGTCTTCTCGATGGCGGCGATCTGCGACTCGCGATCCATGTACATGTTGTCCTCCTGTTGGGGCCAGGGAGGTGCAGTGTTACATGGGGCGGGTACCCTACCTATGGAGCGGTGTTAGACCGGCCGCTCGATACAAATGCATGTACTTTGCATTTTGCAATAAACGAAAGAGCAAGCGGGAACCTAGAACAGCAGATATTACAAAACAGATCAATGGTAATAAATACATTTTTGGGCTAATAAACTGAATGTCAGTTCTGACAATATTGTGTCTTCCAACTTCCAAGAACTGCATTCAGCTGGCAGCTAGCGTTGCACTATCAGCGCCACCTCGTGTGAATTTAGGACACTATTGCGACTAGCCCAGCAGGTCGCCCTCCATGATGATTCACACCGACGCTAGCACTTACCATCTGCTTTTTGATGCTGAATCCGACCTTGGACTCGATCTTGTCCATGGTGGTCGGCTGGAAACGAGTGATCTCAGTGGAGATATACTCGGTCCTCCGGAGCCAGGAGACGTTCTTGGCATGATGACGGGATCTGACAACATACAACACACCTCAAGACACTGAAAAAAAACACCTAACACTTGAGCAGACTGGGTGTGGTTAGCCGTTGGACGGTAAACTCGAATGTGGTCAAATCGTGAGTCGTGAGCTTGCCATACACCGAAATAGGCTACATAGGAATTACCCAAGTTCGAAGTAAAAAATATGGGAGGAAGGCACACTTCTCGTCACATCATGCGACATGCTGTGAGCCCTAGCGCTGGCAGGTGTAGGCCCCACATATTTACACATCCGATCGAGATCGTACTACAAGACGACGGCGTAGTGACGGTCTACGCCGCCGGGTTCCCATCCTAACAGTCATTTGGCACGCCTCCCTGGGGGAGACCGGATGGAGCAGCGACAGGTCGGGCCGCGCACGTACCGTTTGAAGTCCTGCGGCGCGAGCGAGTCCTCCTCGAGCAGCCGCTCGTCTGCTGGGTCCAGCTCGCCGCCGTGCTCCGCCGTGTACCGGTCCGGGTCGATGAGGTCAATGGTGACGCCCAGGTCATGCTCGGTCAGCAGCTCGTGCTTGTAGTTGCGTTCCAGAGAGGTCGGATTGTAGGCCACATATCTGGCAGGTGGCAGGGTAAGGGTGAGAGCAGGGTCACGTTGTTATAAGGGGAGGGTGGTGGCATACATACAGTGTGTCCAAAAGTTGGGCTATGATTTAAAATTGAAATATCTCGAGAATTATAAAACCGAATGTCTTCAAATTTTAGTGAGTGCAAGGTCCATGCATAAGTTTATATTCTGGCATATTTAACCCTCGCACTTATAGGGGGAGGAGTCGAACGAAAACCCTTCCCTGGGTTTTTCGCGAATAACTCGCGCAAAAAGCGGCCGATCGTGACGAAACTTTCGGTACACTCTAAATACCTCATCAATTTCACATCTATCCTGAAATTACATGACCCTGACCCAAAGGACCTTTGACCTGTGGCCTTTTTCTCGAGACCATTTTTGGCCGGAATCGCGATTCAGCATATGTCTGCTCACATTATCCGCGTGTTTGCAGTCTCTTTGTGGTTTTAAACGTTCAAAAACGTAAAATGATGTTGGTACCAACTGCCATGCATTATGGTGGGTGTCAAGGCCATGTGCACGGTGAAGATCAGGTCAGGCCATTGACCTTTGATGACCTTAGTTCACTTTTTCGGGGAGTTACACATTTCTCGGCTAGTTTTTGGAGCTGATTTCGAATTTGGCAGCCATTTGAACATTCACGAAGAAGTTTTGAATCCTTTGTAACATGTTACGAAGCTGTCAGTGATAGTTGACTATGAATACCCGAACAGACCCGACCTGACCCGAATGATGTGACCAGGGCGGTGTTTCACGGGCTGCTGCTACCACGCTGCTATCAAATTGCGCGAGCTGACGTCACACTTGTGGTAGTGTTGGAGCAATGGGCCTGTTGATGTCTCCATGGAAACCCAATTTGACAAGTCGTAAAATCGGCGTGCTGCTATCACCGGTGAAACAGGGCCCCGACCTCGCCTAAGTGCATGAAGACATCATCATTTGTTTGTGATCATAATTAACATCAAATTTGTGATCAGCACCCCAAAAATGCCATAACAATAAACAACCTCACTATACAAAGTTCTAACAGGTCCCGATTCTCACTAGGTACTTTTGGGTCATTGACCTGACCTGAAAGGTCAACCAATTACCTAGGACCTTACCTGTTACTTTCAAACATATAATTGATGAACTTTGGGTCAAATGGAATGTCTGGCAGGGTGTTGCAGTATTTCACACCACATACCAGCTCAGATCTGGGAAAAAAAACAGGGCATTCGTCAGTGCAAAGAATACTTCACATGAGCAGTTTATTTCTAAAAATAAATATCGGTTATCAGTGTATCTAGACTATCAATGCTCTTGTGACATTTAAATGGGTCCAGCTCAGATGACAAGATTATCCACTTAAATAATCAATGGAATGACTCTATGACAGTTAGGTACAATAGTAAATGTATTCTGCATGAAATAAAGTATTTCTTAGTGGTTTATCAGCCTATTCTGAAGAAAAGATGCTAGGGGAAATTTAGTTATAGCATCAACTCGGCCATAAAAACCACATCAACATTCATTGAAAAGTACAGCAAAATGATTTCTTTAAAAATCAAAAGCAAATTTGACAGCATCAAACGTGTCTTACCTTCTTTCCACTGTATGAGGGCGTTTTGGTTGTGGTTTCCCACTTTGCACTGTGGGAGGCATGTTTTATAGTTGGTTGAAAATGCTCAACTTTTATCAACTTTTACTCAACTTTAGCGGCCCCCGTAACAGTAAATGACAAATTTTTCGATCTGGCCTTTTGAAACTACTGCGCCATGAACGCGACAAAATCAAGGACAGACAAATTATCGCACTAAAAAGATGGAAAACACTATTTCACTGCCAGCACCACGGTGTTATAAATTTAGCCAGCACTACCACTACTTTTCATCACCGTTCCGTGCCTTTATCCTCAGGATACTGAAATCCTTCTCCTCCACGCCTGACGCCGCAACCCCCTCCGGGCTGGACAGGCAACTATATCTTATGCGGGCTTCTCCCTTGGAGCGGCACCGCTGCTCCCGAGGGAGCGCACCCCGTAGCCGGGTGCAGTGAGTGCCTTGGGGCTGGGTGCCTGTTCTCTGGACGGGCTCAGCCCCGGCGACTCACTAGGGTGCCTGCCCAGACCAATGTCTCCCCCTACATCCTATCATCCTCCCGGCTCTGAAATGGTCTCATTGGACCGAAAGGGCCTACCCCAACAAAACAAAACAAACAAATCACTACTTTTACTTATGTGATTGAAGCAGAACAGGATAGGCAGTTAGGCAGGCACAATTCAATTGACCCACTAATTTACCAAATGCAATTTCTTCTTTTTGGAAACAGTGACTTTGGTCAAGGCAAAGTCAATTGCAGACGTCACATACCTAAATAAGCAATTCTGATGTCGATCGAGACAAAAACGCCCCACTTCGAAAAGTCATGTGTATTTTTATAGACGATCTTGAATATAGTGATGTGACCTCAGATGACCTTCGTGACCTTGAAAGTTCATCCTGTTGTAGCCCATTCTTATAGGGCTACAGACGAGTCTTGTCTTGGTGCCTAATTCATCAACTAGGCACCAAGACAAGACGGTCAAGACGAAAACGCCACCACTTCTTGCTTCGTCATAGGCGATGTCATCGGCAGTTTCGATGAAGATCTCAGTGGTTAGGATATGGCCTTGATCTCAGTTGACCTTGGTGACCAGTTCCATGAGAGGTCAACTTCTCAAGAGCAGATAGCTGCTGACGGGTACGGCAGGGCCCATGACTGCACTGCAATCAGTGGCGGCGGAACACCTTCAATTAAGGGGGGGGGGGGCACTGCCGACTTTTGGTCCCATTCTTTCCATGCAACGCCCATTGGGCTTATGTTAAAACGGCAAAATCAAAGGGGGCATGGTGCCCCGGTCCCCCCCCCCCCCGTTCCGCCGCCTATAGCTGCGGTGAAGAAATGGGTGAAAGTGTTAGGTAGGTAAGTTGACTTATTAGGTAACGGGTCACTAAGCTAAGGCCCATAGGCGGCGGAACGGGGAGGGCACCGGGGCACCGTGCCCCCTTTGATTTTTGCATTTTAACATTAGCCCTATGGGCGTTGCATAGAAGAATGGGACAAAAAGTCGGCGGTGCCCCCCCCCCCCTAATTGAGGATGTTCCGCCGATACTGCTAAGACCACAATAAGGCTAAACAGGATGAGGCTGAAAAAGCATACCTATGACAAATCAAACGATGTCCCTCTTCTTAACCCGCATCCCGCTGGGCCTTCTGGATTTCTCCGCCCTGTTGGAGTGGGAGCTGTTTGAACGCCCCTCCCCTCTAATTCGGCGCCGTGGCCACACATGGCTCCATGGCCGCGCGTGGCGCTCCACTCCAGCGACACGCGGAGGCGGCTTTGAAATTGTCAAAAATCACTGTGAAAATGCCTGGTCATTTCCTTAGGTCTGGACAAATGTCAGGCCAACAGAGGTCATCGGAGGTCAAATTTCGTCGACTAATAATTTTCGTCAATGTGGTGGATTATTCGGGAAATGATACAGAGTTACAGCGCCGCGGAAAGGCGCGTTCGATAGCTCTATCAACGCGCTTTCTGAAATATTTCTCAGATTTGACCTAGAGTGAACGGTTTAGCCTCCATAGCCCAAATAATGTCAACATTGCCGTTTTAACGGAAAACGCCTTTCTGCGATAGCTTTTGACTCAAAACCATTTAGTTCACAAAAACATTTATTTCACTGACATCCTCCGTTCCTCTCGTCGACACACGTCGAATGAACTATTGCCTAATTTGACATTAGATGGTCATTTAAAAAATGAACAAAGGTCAAGGTCATGACCTGGCCGGAAAAGGTCAATTTGCATAGGTTTAACTTGCTCCGTATCGTAGAGTTGAACACATCCCAGGTGTTCATCGATCACCTGGGATATAGCGTCAGCGTATCTCTATCAAAAGTTATTGTAAGAAACTGCTTGAAACCTTTCATGACCCGAGATGACCTCAAGGGCTCAAGGGCTCAAAAAGGGCTTATGGATGCCATTTTGCGCTGCAATGTGTCATGTTTACCTATAACCCGATGTTTGGGTGTTTAGTATGATATGACCATGGTAGGGGAGAGTGGAGATAACTGGGACGGGGGAGAAGTGGGACACCTACAATATCTGAATGACCGATTGGATAACCAATTTCGTTTTTGCATATTTTCTCATGAATTTAGTCGGGGCACGTCACAACCGAGCGGTTCCCTTTTCCAGCTGCCTGTCTCTGAGATATTGAGTTGGGGTCGAAAATATGTTTTTTTTTTTGCATTGTACTCTTATTCAATTTGCCGTTTATTCAGCGATGTGAAATGTTCAGGCCGTTTACCTTCGGATATCAGTGAAGTCATGAAGTTATGCAGAAACATTTTTTTATGTATCTGTTATACTTTTTGTGTGGGCAGGCGCGTAACCACCACTGGGGACACTGGGGACCGGTCCCCAGTAACTTTTGGGTTACTGGGGACCGTCCCCAGTAAAACCGACGACCTCAATTTGCTTGAATAGCCAAATATTGTCTCTAAATCGACGTGAAGAGTAATATGTAGTCAACGGAAAACAAAACTGGATGTTTTGTTTAGCCAGCGCCCGGGTGGGCCTCTCAACCAACTTAGCCATGGGGGGGGGGCTTTTTGGCCACACCAGATTACCTAAGCAAGCTAGAAAGACGCGGTAAGAAGCAGAAGATAGCTCGCTACAGTATCTTTCAGAATTACCTATGTCATTTTTGATCAAGTCATCGCTCAGGTCACTGGAGGTCACCAAAGGTAAAGTTTTCACAAACTTTTATTCCCAATTTTGACAAGTTTTCACAAAGCGGCGCATACGTCAGGAACCAATAGAGCTGCGGTGCTGCGGGAAAGCGCATTCGATAACTTTTTCAAAGACCTTCCTGAGCAATGTTCTCAGCTTTGACCTAAGGTCAACGGTTTAGCTTCCAGGTTGGCGTTTTGCGGGAAAGGTTTTTGTATCATAACTTTTGACTCAAAAATTGCATGGCGCTGATTTTACCGGCATCGCGTTGGTCTCGTCGAGACGCATGGAAGGAAAAGGTCATGTTGCAGGTCATGCGATTGGTATTGTTGAGTTGAACACATCCATGGTGTTTGCGCTCTAACATGTTTCTACCTAAGCTCGGGGTTACATGAGCAGAGTTAATACGCATTACAAACGGACTACAATGGTGAGCGAATAGGAAAATCCGTTCCTGATACGCATTTACTTGCTCATGTAACCCCGGTATAAAGTAATGGTAAAAAACTGTTGGAGATGTTTCATGACCTGAGATGATCTCAGAGGCATAAAAGGGGTCACAGGTGCAATTTTCCGGTTCAGTGTGTCATGTTTACCTGTGTCGGTGCGCGCCGCGTTTGTGCTTACACGCGCAACAAAAAAAAATGGCAGGTGTGGCCAAAAACGCCCCCCACCATCTCCCCCCACACACTCGGGCGAAGGCTGATCCTGAAATATTATATTTGGTCTTCGCAGCCTTCCATGTGGTCCCCAGTAACTTCAGACTCGTGGTTACGCGCCTGTGTGTGGGAGGTAGTTGAAATAAAAATGATGACTTGGAAAGAACTGGGACAACGTGCTTTGAGACCCTCGCCCCGCTGGGGGGGGGCAATTTGCCCCCCCCCCCCTGTGTTTTTCCTGAATGCCAAATTTTCAGTACGTTCCTAAGCATCAATTTGACACCTCCACACCGAATTTTAAGTCCTAGGTCACCTTAGGTCAGGAGTTATTGAGGTCAAACTGAGGTCATGTTCGAGCAAAAATGAGCAAAAACATGAAATTTTGAAACGCTCACCAAAGCTACAGTTACCTAGGAATTTCAAAGTTCTTTATATGGTCATGTAGAGAAAAGACGGCGCTACGAAACTGCTATCGCGAATTTTCAAAACTTTTTGGATTTTTACCCCCAAAATTAAAAAAAAATAAATGATTTTTTTAGAAAAACACAAAAAAACTTTTTTTTTTTGAAATTCGAAAAACCGGAATATATGTGATAGTCCCTGCGCTCTTCTATCTACATACCAATTTTTTGATCGATACCTTTTTTTGGCCAAGGTATAGCGAAAAAACTGGTCAAAATTGATTACGTCAAATTTTTGAACTCAACTTTTGGCAATTCTAGAGCACGTAGCGCAAAACAAAGACCACCATTGAACTTCCCGTGCCGAACTGCATCAATCCGATACCCATTTTATGCAAAAATATCAGCTTTGAAATTTGACCTTATTTGACCTGACCTTGACCTGACCTTGACCTGACCTTCACCAAACATAATCTAAACTGACCCGAAAGGCTTCCTGACCCACGTAATCGCATTTGACATATAAAATGGATCATAAAACATCCATAAAACATATCACATGATATTTTCATAATGTGACCCTCAGTGACCTGACCTCTGTGACCTGATCTGGTATCAGTGACCTCAAATAGCAAAATATGTGTTTGACAAACAATACTCCATCGATCGGGCATCGATGATTTTCAATGAAATGCATTTTACTCGATTTTACAATTTAATTCTATCCCATTAACTAAGGTATGATGAAAAGGTCGCAAAAATTATCTGACCTTGAGCACCGGTATCTGAATTTCGAGATATATATTTTGTATATTATCTTGCTCTTATCAATCGTTGAATGGCTCTCATCACACGTTGAATGGCCCCTTGGTACCTATAGCTAAGAAGGCTTTGCCCCACGAGAAGGTATTGCCGCTATAAATCTCCATCAATATTGTATAGCTGTGTGTGCTCACTACCAGCTGTACCTATTTCCATTCCGACTGACCGACTTGTCCGTGAACTTAGCGACGTACACTTATGTCGGTAAGTTCACGGACATCTGACGACAGGTCTCCACATGGACGCACAGTGC